ACTGAAAGCTTAGATTGGTAGAATAATTGACTCTTCAAAGTTCCTTTGTTGATGTTCATGCTATTGATCGAAATTTGAACATGTTTCTTTCACAGTATTATTGATTTTCTCATTTGGGCTTGCAGTATGGCTCTACACGGTTGGAAGTTGATATTGACGGGTCGTTGTCCTATCCTAAACCACAAACTAATGCAAGAGAAAATGGTACGTGCTCCAATGGCTTACGCGACATTCTCTTTATGGAAATGTCTTGTGCTTGTTTAGTTCCTTGGTGACTTAGCTTATCAAGCGCCCTTGTATTTGACTATCTTGTGGAAGAGGGCATGCGTAGGCATCTAGGGAATCACCTCTAGGTGTTCCTCGATGATGAGATCTGTGAGGCTAGTGGTATTGACAGCAACCCTAGAAACCAAGGTCTTTTTGGCAAGCATCTAGGATGATTAAATATTTTGTGCACGTGCACGCGCATGCATGCCTAAGCATCTATCTAGGAATGTTAGACGAATCAGCCCCTAGATAAACCCTTCTAGTTACTGAGTTCATTGTCAATTTCTGTGATACTTACATTGTTGAACTCTGTATTTTATGCACATTCAGGTGATGGAAGGCATGCAATTCCAGAACCACTTAATCCTAATGAGGAGAAACTTATGCGAATCTTTTATGAGCAAAAAATTCAAGAAGTTTGTGGAGCTTTTGGATTCCCCCATAAGATCCAGGTCAATGATTTTATATCCCACTTGTACATGAGTGGCACTGTTATCTGGTATTGCTTTTCATGAATTTGCTGCTGAGCTGATTTATTGTTTTGGAACTTCGCAGGCTACAGCCATCATATACTTTAAAAGGTTTTATTTGAACTGGTCGGTAATGGAGCATGATCCAAAACATATAATGTAAGATTTGGTTTTATAATACCGTGCATCAAGCTTTTAAGAATTAAATCTTCCAATTATTATATGTTTATGGTGTACTATGAACTAGTGCTGTTTTGCATTTAGATCACATGGTTCATTTGCTTTGTACATGTAATCCAATTTCGAAATGAGGAAAGTTGAGAATGTCTTTTTCATTGGGTAATTCAGGGGTAACAATTGAACTTGAGATGTAGCATTGCATGACATCAACTGCTAACCATTCAAGCCCAAGCCCAATTCCTAGAAAGTTGAGAATGTTGTCTAATTAAGCCCTTGCATTTGTAAGAATGAGGTCATTAATGTAACGTAATATGTAATCTAGTTTTATCAATAACTTCTCTTTTGTTGCCAGAATGATTGATTCCTGTTGCCGCACACGCAACAATTTCATATACAGCATTTTGATTTTTTATTGGTTCCTTTATTGTGGTTCCTTTATTGTGACAAGTTCCCTGTTGTTATTTATACATGCCTGCAATGTTGCATTCCATCTGCAGTGTGGCATTGTGCTCTCATTGTTAATTTGCCAAAGACATTGTTACCTGAAATTACTGAGATTACCTTCATTGGATGTGAATGAGTGTGGCTTTCTTGGCTTAATTGTCAAACTGTCTAATTTGAGCTACTGTCTTATGATGTGAAATTGAACTGGTTGATTTGGGCAGGCTAACTTGCATATATACATCATGTAAGGTTGAAGAATTCCATGTATCAGCAGAGGAGCTTGGCAAGGGGATTCAACAAGACCATGAAGTGATTCTCAATAATGAGATGATTGTTCTTAAGGCATGTCAACCATTTACGTAGTAATCGTTGATATCTTCCTAGCTGCATGTTTTTATGTATATTATGATGATTTCATCTTTGCAGAGTTTGGGATTTGATCTTATTGTTTACGCGCCATACCGATCGGTTGATGGTTTTCTCAACGATATGGAGGTACAGTTACTAAATGGAAGGCCATTCTTTAGCTGGAGCACTAGAGTAGAAGCCGAACGCTTTTGTTATGACTGAGTTTCATTTGCCTTTAAAGTTATGCATCCATCTATTCTTGCTTGTTCTTACATATTGTTCTTCCATTATGATCAATATAGAGTTTGACAATAAAAGCAAAATATAACATAAAAAGTTCATTGGAATGGAAACTCTTGCTTTGGTCTTAGAAATCTTTCTGAATTGAATTGGACATGAGTTCTTGAAGTTTAATCTGAGTGTGCGATCTCAGTATGGTGCTACATATTTTATTTGCAAGAAATGGATCTAGAACCTTGACTTCATGGCTGTTGTCATTGGCAACAAAATAGCCACAAATCTAAAATTTACATTAGCAATAACTTGTTTGAAAATTTTGGGTAAGGGTATATTTTTAATTCCAAAAGTCCAAAGGAATCTTTTAAATTTGAATTTCAGTTTTGGAGGGATTCTGGAATAACAAAATTTCCCAGAATACATGAACTAATTATAGATAAAAGTAAATTCTGAACATTTAAGGGTACTTATTGTAAAAATTATTTAAGCAGGAAGTTTTAACTACACTGTTAGAGTGGTGTAGCCTTGAATAACGCTGTGTCCGTGTGTGTGTGTTTTTTTTTGGGGGTGGGGTGGGGCGGGGGGGAGGGGGGGGTATTACATATGCGTCACTTGTGTTATATACACGTGGCTGCTCTTGTAGAGGGTTCCCTTCCTATATTATATGCGCCCTCTCTACAAGCACTTCTATGTATATACGTATGAGTGATACATATGTAACATATAATCTAGGGCCTGCTCCCATGTTGCTTCCTAGTAAGCATTCCCTGATGCTGCATGCTGGGATTTCAACTATGGGTCGATCCCTGGCTCCTGCTTCCTCTCCCAACAGTTATGGTTTGCCCCATTAAAAAAAAATGAAGCCTATTTAACTTAACTATTCCAGGGATGACCTGTAGTTCAACAAAACTTGTTTGTTGAAAATAATATCTGATCAATTTATCTGATTTTGTGTGCTGAGTGACAGTTTCTGTTAAAGTTGTAATGTCATACTAAACTTGTTTGCAATTTTGTTACTAGATGCTGGTCACTGGTCTCTTGGCTGGCAGAAATTTGTTATAGCTTGAGATTTGAATATCAGAAAATGGATTTTTCTTTAGCTGCATTTCTTATTTTCCTCAAATTTTCACAACTTTGTGTTGATTATTGGTGATTTCTTTTGCTGATTCTTCAGGATTTCAGCCATGCGTTGGATGATGGGAAGCTTAAGGTAAGAAGCCAGTTTTATTTTTCTGCTTGTATTGTGCTTTGGTTTGATATTGTACACATGACGCCTGTTGGAATGAACAATTTGTGATTACATTAGTGTATCCTGAACTTGTACTAATTTGTGATACCAATTTGTACATGTTTTTGTGCCGGACCGCATTATGGGCATGTGACTGATAGAGAGAGAAAAAATGAGGGAGGATAGAGAGAGAAAGTGAGGGAGGGTAGCGAGAGAAAGAAATGGGTAGAGAGAGAAAGGGAGAGGATGGGTGGAGAGAGGTAGGGAGAAAGTAAGAGAGCATCACTTGTCTAAAAAGACAGAGAGAAAAAAGGGGAAGAGAAGGAAAAAGGGCATTTTGGTCTCAAAATGCTTTGGCTATTTGACTGGGGGGGGGTAAATACCAGGAAAAATAGTGTTGGGGTATAATATCAAAAAGTATTGGGGGCTAGGATGTGTAGAAAGTTGAAATTGGGGGGGTATTTATAATTTTCCCTTATTATTTCAATGACATTTTTTTGCCTTTTTTTTTCTTTTACACTTTCTGTTTTTTGTTGTTCATAAAATTCTTAGAGCTTGCTATCGCAGTAGCCTTGTGTAGCCAGCAGAATATCCCTGGAACTACCATAAGAGTTCTTTATACAAGTCCTTAATAATGGAACAATTGATGAATTGTCTTTTTGGAGGCTGTAAATCCGATTGGTATCAAATCCTTTCTCTAATGCACAAACTATGAAAACTTTTTTGATTACGTATGTGATTTGCTAGGCTTTGGGGGAAGCTACCAAGCTGGAAGTTGACAAAACAATGCTCACTGATGCTCCTCTTCTTTTCCCTCCTGGGCAGGTACTCTTTCCATTCATTTAACTTACTGTGAAGCAGAATTTATCTTGTGAACTAGGCCTTAATTTAATATTTTTACGGTCACTTATGCTTCTTAGTATGTTCCTGTGATGGAGAAACCTATACATATTACATTTAAGATTTACTAGTGACAAATTCATGCGTTCATTCTTCATTTATTGTGATGAATAATGATTGTCACTGCAACTCATTATTGGTTATATATACCATTTTTCATTTGCCTAAAAGATGAAACATGCCAGTGCAGTAAGAAAACTGGCTGCCTCACATACTTACAAGAAAAAATGAATGCTTGGTCCATGGGTGTTGTGATTTTTTTATTCCCAAGAAATCAGCAAAAAATCAACCCTAAATACTTGTTGCATCTTGTATTAGTAATGAACTTTTAAAGAAGCAAATGGAGAACATTACATCACTTGGCATTCCCTTTGTGCCAATGACTTGCCATGCTGCCTGTCTTATTTGTGCATCCTTAAAGCACACGCTTTTGAGAGCAAGATAAATACTGAACTTGTGTATTGTGGGATGCCTTGGCTTTGAGGATTAAGTTGTTGAAAGGACTACTTAAGGCCTGATATGGCACACATGCCTTTACGTTTAGCATGTGAGTAATGGCATTAAAGTTCAGCCACTACTGGTCCTCTTGTGAATGATATGAGATTGCAAAGAATAACAGTTACATTAATTTCTTCATATGTCTGTGCTATTTTATCTTAGGCATATCAGGTGCAACATTAGGAATGTTCTGGCTTAATTGCTTTGATTTTGTACTTCTGGGTGGGCACATGGAAAAATTGCATATTTTAAGTTTACTTGGCTTCTCATTGGACATTGTTTGTTATAGATACGTGTTTGTCTTCTTGCATCTTGTGCAGTTAGCACTGGCTGCTCTCCGGAGATCAAATGAGGTACACAAAGTTCTCGATTTCAAGAGGTTCTAAACTTCTTCCATATTTGCATGTTTCAAGTAAACCTTCTTAATTATGGTTATTTTGCTATCTGTCTTTTTCCCCTTCTATATCATTTAGTTGGAATATTTCATATGTGGCTCTGAATTATGCAAACCCTTTGGCAGATACTTGGAGAGTCTTTGCTCTCAGCAAAATGGTGCGCATACTAGTCACGAGCTAACCAAATGCCTGAGTGCCATTGATTCTGTGGTAATGGTTCTTATGATCAGATAATGTTTCTTGTTCCCTCTCGACTTCTTGTCTTTAAATTACATTGAAAATTTGTTTGGAAAAATTTGAAGGACCTATTGATGCACTCTGAAACTACAGTCAAGGTATGGGAATATTTCTTGGATTTATCTTTTCAGAATCCAAAAAGCTTAAGGAAGCAACAATTTACCCTTTGCTGAAAGAAGGTTGCTCCTTTGGAGAATGTGCATATAGATAGCAAGTTGACTACCTCAGTGATATCTTAGCACTCCAAGGACCTCATCTGAAGTCTGAAGACCTATTAACAATGCCCATGATGCCTCACTTGCATCGCACCTTGCGAGAAGTCCTAGAATCTGTTATTAGTAATACTACCCCAAATATTGCTAAAACTCCTTTGGATACTTGTTTAATTGAGCATGGGCATTTTAATAGGTCTTTGGAGTTGAAAACCCGAATGGAAGGAGATAGTAATAGAAGGGGATTCAGAGAGTGTAATCACACGGGTGATGAAGCAAATGGATCCCTCATGGAGATTGACTATTTTAGATGAGATATTTGCAGAATTGTGTAATCTCCCTGTTTCACTTCACCACTCATGGAGGGGAACCAATGAGATAGCTGATCAATTGGCATAGGATGGAAACGAGAAGCCAGTGTGAGAGACTGACATGCATATGGCAAAATGCTACCCATAGTGTAGTTTTAGGACAGCTGTCTCTGCAAAATTGTGCAACATTTTTTCCTCGGTAACCTTCCTCCGGTCTCTCTGAATAAGTATTCCTGGGTAATCTTTCTTATTTGTTAATTGACCTCTTGGAAGTTACTTGAAGGTAGCTCTAGATTGAGTTGGTTTTTCTTTAGGACCTCATAATGCATTAGCAAACTCTAGGAAGTTATTTGAAGGCAGCCTATATTGAGTTGGTTCTTCTTTTGGACCTTATAATGCATTGCCATTTTATCCATTTGAAGCCTTAGATTGACTTAAGTTCAAGTACAACCCTTGATGCAAGACCTCACTTGTCATAACTCCATGAAATAATTTGCTTGGTTTCATGGTTCTACACTGCCTTGACGGAGTCAACTAGCTGGTTGTTCTTGCTTCCATGCGCTTTATAGTCCCCATACTTCCTGGATCTCTCTCTCTCTCTCTCTCTCTCTCTCTCTCACACGCATGTCTGTCTAGCTTTGAAGAGACCAATCTATTAATCTGTCCCATATCCTGATAGAACTTTTCAGATGAGTTATATGTTGGACCTGTAAAAGATCAGAACCAACAAAGCTTCAGTTCTAGGGCTGGGAATGGGTTGGGCATGACCCGACAATATACCCGGACCTGTCCAAGACCACTCTACCCAGACCAGGATCTGATGGTTGGCCAGGGACCTGGACCTGACCCAGATCAGACCTGGGAATGCAAATTGGGTTGGGTCGACTCGACCCTGTCCGATCCAATTGTCATCCACCATGGTGTGAAAGCGAAGACGTTTGTTTTTTAAAATTTAATTTCTTAGTTACATTGATTTATTTTGATTTTGAAATTATTAGAGATAATTAATGTTAAATAGTTAAATTCAAGTGGAAGTTTTTGTTAAGCTTTTGGGGTAATGAAGTTAAATGTGATTTTATTAATTTGTATAAAATATTCACTATAGTAATTATATAGGTATGTGTAAAATATTGTGTGTGTGTGCGCATGTTTTAGAGGGTACTATAAAAATGGGTCGGGTTGATCTGGACCCTCCCCGGACCCGCTGGGTCCAGAAGTAAGACCCAGACCCGGAACCCACGGCAACCTGTTGGGTCGAACTGATCCGATTCCCAACCCCATTCAGTTCTTATCCTAGTATCCTAGCAAGTTCTTATCCTAGTATTCTAGCAAGTCATAGATAGATGCATTACGTCTTTCAAATCTTAGTATAGGTTCAGTTCTGTTCATGACTGTTACAAAACACAAACTCTGATTGAACTCTTTGAGGGCTCGAGGCCAAGCCATGTGTGACAGACTCATCTGTCCAAAAAACCTAACTAGGGCAATTCTCATGTGCATGATTTTGGGCTTGCGAGTCTAATTGGACTTGCGTGAGATTTCAAATTCTAGTTCATAGTCAGTCGTATTTTCTTATTATTCAGGAAAAATTATGTATATGCCCCTGCACCATATTTTCAAGGCATAATACTGCCGAATACTTATAAAATTACTCCTTATTTTTGCAGCTACCCTTGCCCCCCCCCCCAAAATAAGAAAGTGGCTTTATTTAAGATGAAAATACTCAGGTAGAAATTTTCTCTCCAAAAGTTTGATTTTGAAATTTTGGAGAGAAATATCTCAAAATTTCTAGAGAGGGAAACTATCTCAAATTTCAAATATTTTGAGAAAGAAGCTATCTCAATTTTTAGAGAGAGAAACTCTCAAGTTTCAAGTGTTTAGAGAGAAACTATCTCAAACTTTTTAGAGAGAAACTTTCTAAAATTTCAAGTTTCAGAAAAACTCTCTAAAAATTTAAAAGCCTTGAGTGAGAAAATGAAAGGATGGAAAAGAATTGCGGTTCTATATATAGGAATATTTATAGTCCAAAATAAAGCTACTTTCTTCCTTGGGGTGATGGCTGCATTGTGTCATTTAAAAAAAAATTGGGGGGGAACTAAGTATAAAAAGTATGGTCCAAGGGGGCATACATAATTTTTCTTATAATTATGAGTTTCTAAGTGCTTCTTCTTTATTGATTTCTCTCAATTTCTTTTTGATAATTAATTTTGGATTCATTTGACATAGGTGAGTACACTTAAAATCCCTGAAGCGAAGGATATGAGGCATGTAGACCGGAAGCTAAAGTTTTGCAGGAATCCGAGCTTGCAGGATGAGTAAGCTACTAATACAGAGAATCCTTGTTTTCTTCCGCATTTCGAGACTCGGCCAGTTCTACTCGGACTCGGCCGAGTGAATCAGACTCGCCCTATGGATGGGGCGATTTTTTCCGAGTCTAGTGTACACAATTTTTTAGATGATGTATCTAATAACCTGCCAATTTAATATCTAACACTCAAGTAGTATGCTGGGTAGTACGCATATTTATTCCTCACAAGGGACTCACCTGAGTAAATTGGCTCAGCCAAGTGCTGAGTACCTTGGCCGAGTCGATTTTTTGAACCTTGCTTCTACTTATTGCAGTAAATGTTGACTTACCTGGATTCTGACTGCACGAATGCTTGTTTTACAGGACCAAAAAGCGTGAAAAGAAATCAAAACACAAGTCCAAAAGAACTTTGAGCCAGATGCAAGAAGTTCCTCCGCCGTATGTGACTTATATATTGATTAGGTTCTTGCTTGTGCAAGTTGGACATGAGAGAGATAGAGAGAGAGAGAGATTCTCTGCTATGATTAACCTTTATGTCCATTTTTTTTCCTAATGAGTGGACTACTGAGAGAGAGAGAGAGAGAGAGAGAGAGAGATTCTCTGCTATGATTAACCTTTGTCCATTTTTTTTCCTAATGAGTGGACTACTGAGAGAAAGAGAGAGAGAGAGAGCTTCTCAGCCATAATTAATTCCTTTATGTTCGTTGTTTTTTCAGTTGAGTGGACTCCTTAAGTTGGTATCTTAGATGAGCTTTTCAGGGTTTGGGAGATTATTGGTAAGCAAATTTGGGAAAATTCACTTCTTTGGAGTTCCGAATAGATGCATTTCTTTTTATTAGCATACTTCTTTTTATTAAAATAAAAGTTATTCGTGGAAGTTGCAACTGTATTCAGATATTTACATGCAGGCAAGTCCATATCTCCAGGAATGAAGCTTAATTATGATCAGGTTGTACTTTGGTGGTCACTATCTCAAGCTTCCTGCCCGATTGAAAGTTGCATTTTTGACTTCGCATATTTGTATCCTGGAAGATTAACCTCGACTTTCATTTGCTTAGTATGATGCATTTGGTTTTGTATTTCCTGGGTTTAACAGGGCAAGTATTCTCTTACTGGTTCGTTTCTCTTATATTCTAGCAAATGTAATGGAAATTACAGTAGAAGTTACAGTTACTTCAAGGTTTCCTTATTCTCTTCCTTTTATTTTCTCTTTTTATTTGTTAACAAATAACATAATGTGTAACCAGGAATGATAAAAAGGTATTTAGAGATGAGGAAGGACCTAATTTTGCACATAGGGCCAGGAGAGAGAGAGATCCCAGTAGCAATTAATGGGGGCATCTTCCCATAATACACCATTTCCGCATCTTCATATCCTTCCTCATCCTCGTGAGTTCTTTGGAACCATTAGGAGTGAGCAAATTAGGAGCAAAAGGAGGAGGTGCTTGAGTAGGCTGGGTAGGCCTTGATTTGGACGGGTCTCCCTTCGACTTTCCCCTTTGAATTAAGGCTACGTGGCTAATTTGATACTTGGCTAATTTGAATCAAACTGGGCTTCAACCTTGCATCCTCGGCTTGGCTGCTATTTATGGCTATGATGTCCTCATCTTCAGAGCCCCTGTCATGAACCGAATGGGGCTTGACATCAGTGAAGAAGTCATAAAAAGCATACTCCTTCGCTTTTATTCGTGTTAGAATTTGCTTTTATTGGTGTTAGAATTTGTGGGAGCATAACATTGAATGGTGAGTGGAGATAGAAGAAGAGAGAATACAATGAAGATAGAAGAAGAGACCACAACATTTACGTGGTTCAGGTCGAAGCTTTACGTTCACGAAGTTAAAACCCAACTGGCTATATTTTCGTTCTTTTGGATGAATGTTTACATCAATCAGTATTTCAATATATAGAAGATATTTATACAATTATAGGAGAAATATGATATGATTTTGGGAGAAAAAAAGTAAGTAGGAGGTTTTATCACTAAATTAACTTGACGACCAGTAATTTTGATTTGATTTCTTCTTATTTTTTAGATATCTAACAAGAGATATATATTTATACATCCATAATGATGTATATCAATATGAACTCGAGATATCCATATATTAACGTTCTTTTTTAAACTCAAGATGCTTAGCTGTTGGAGTTTGAACAATACTAAGTTGTCAAAAAAAACGAGTAGTGATTAAATCCGAGTAGTGATTAAATGCATTATAAATTTCATAGGTTACCATGGTCTTTCAAGAAAGAACTTTTCTTGGGTTTAAACTCGAGATGCTTAGCTGCTGGAGTTTGAACAATACTAAGTTGTCAAAAAAATGAGTAGTGATTAAATCCGAGTAGTGATTAAATCTATTATAAATTTTACAGGTTATCATGGTCTTTCAAAAAGAACCTTTCTTGGGCTCTCTACTTTCTTCTAAAGACTTTCTCTTTCTAGGGTTTTCCAATAAACAATATTTCTTAGGGCTCTTTAATTTTTTCTAGAGACTTTTTCTCTCTAGGGTCTTCCAAGAAACAACTTTTTTTTGGGCCTCTAGAGTCTTCCAAGAAACAATATTTATTGGGCTCTCTATTTTCTTTTAGAGACTTTTTTTTAGGATTTTTTTCTCTCAGATACTTCTTTTTTTTCTCTAAAGGTTCTATTTTTCTAAAAGAAAATGATTTTTCTCTCTCTTCTTCTAGATCTTTTTTTCTCTCTTCTTCTTCGGGATCTTTCCTTCTCTCTTTTTCTTCTCCCTATGGGAAAATGATGACTTTCTCTCTCCTTTTTTCTTTCTCTACTCAGTGTATTTTTTTCAATGCACCAAGAAAAAACAACAGGCCATTGGAATATCCGGGATCGAATAACGAAAAACTCGATCATCACATAAGATGGGGTAACGGAAAACTTTATCATAAAAAATGATCAAGTAACAGAAAACTTGATCATCATCTAAGATCGAGAAATTTTATCGTCATACAGGATGAAGTAACGAAAAACTCTATCATCAAATATAATTAAATAATAAAAAATTTGATCATCACACATTATCGATAAATTCGATCATCAAACATGAGGCATTTAAAAAAGCCAACTGAAATCAGCGCTTATATTAAAGACGAAGTCATTCATCTCAACTCTATTTCTCTTCTACTCTCCCACTCAAGTTGGGTGTGGATACGAAATAACACCCAACTTGCAGTATACCTCTTTTTTTTTATATTTATTGAGATCTCTAACCCTCTAGAGGAAATGAAGAGATTCACAAGAGAAGAAGAACCTAGGCAACCCCACCAATAGCAATTGAAGCCGATCCTTCTTCTCTCTCTGTCGATAGCAGACCGATAGATCTTTCCTGTGGTAATGTTGTTATCTCGATGTAAGCGTTTCATTCAAGAAACGTTCATAATTTCCAAGATCCAGTTTGACCTCTCCACGATCATCAAGAACAAAGACTTCACCGTGCTCGAAAGGAGTCATGGTTCCAGCATCTGTATTTAAATATGGATCTATTTTAATGGAGGTTACACGCCACATGCTTTAAGCACTACGCCAACACTACTGGCTGTCACACCCTTTCCAAGCTCGCTCACGACTCCCGTACTTCATCCTCTCACTCTTCTAAGAGAGCTCTCTCTCTCTCTCTCTTCTTTCTCTCTCTACTGTGTTGAAACGCTAGAGAGTTCTTTGTCACAGCTGAAGCATGACGGAATGGGTCCCTTTCTCTCTCTTGAATTGAACTCTCTCTCTCTCTAAACAGTACCACTGAATGAAGGGTTTGTCTCTGCTTCTCTCTCTCTCTAAACTCTAAAGTCTAACAATAGCAATGGAAACAGGGGTTTATATCTTCTCCCTTGTTTAAGATCACTCTCTTTCTCTCTCTCAAAATAGCACCAATAAAAGGGGGGCTTTTATTTTTCTTCTCTCCAACAACCCAACTGGGAGCAAGAACTTCTCGCTCTCTCTATCTCATTGCTTGATCTCGTCGGAATCTGACCATAACTTGCTGGAAAAATATCCAGCCAAAGGATTCCGGCACTAGAATACCCAATCCACAACCACTATTTACCATTCCCATCCTTTCTCTCAAAGATATGGGCAAGGAATTCCCATATCGTATCAATCATAATCAATTTTTGTCAATTGCAGCAATGGCAGAGAGCAGGTATACTGGATAGAATATTTCCAAAAACTCTATTTTTCTCTCTTTTGATGATGGAGTTTTTGCCAATCAAACTCTCTTTTTGTCTCTCTCTCTACTCTTCTGAGATTTTCTTTTACCCTATTCAAATTTCCCCTTCTCGCACTTCCATGAAAAGATGGGGTACCCTCCTCGGCCCCCATCAATTTGACCTTTTATCTAAGGCGGCAACTAAATGCCCTGCTCCAGTCCTCTTCTGACCTTGCTTTCTGAATTCTTCTCGTTGAGAAAGAGCTCCCTTTGTATCTTGGGCCTCATCTCTGCAGTCCTCTCTGTGTCGTATTTGCTATTTCTTCTTCTTCTTCATCCTTCTTTTTCTCATCATTCATCAACTTTGGGAGCAAGTCTTTGTGTTGCGAATAGACAATCTTGGATGAATTCTTATTTTGTTTGACTATGGCATCGAACGCAACATTACCATGTGCATCTACAGGGAGGGGAAGCATTTTGAGTCTCTCTTCTCTTCTTTTTCGGGCCATACCTAGTGGATACTAGGCGATGTAGATCTCAGGAAAGGCCACACCATCTCTAAAATCTTCAGGTTTTCGAGGAACAAAACCAGCTCGTTTCCCATAAGGAGAGATGGATTTGGCTTTGGAAGCTGAATTAATACTGGATTTTGCAGGGTCAATGAAGCGATCTTTGAACCATGGCTCTGATGAGAAGTCGTAGACACCAGTGGTTGCTGACTTTGGATGGGGAAGAAGTTCCTTCAAGGTTGCCATACCAGGCAACGAAACTTACCAACCAAGAAGAATAACAAAGAGGATTAAATACAATCGATGGGATTTGAGGTGCTTCGATGGCGGTAGGCTTTCGGTAGGCTCGTGATGAATAATCTCGTTCTGATATCATGTTAGAATTTATGGGGTAGGCTCAAAGTAGGCCTTCGGTAGGCTCGAGACGAAGAATCCCGTTCTGATACCATGTTAGAATTCGTGAGAGCATACATGAAAGAAGAGAACACAACATTTACGTGGTGATTTACGTTCTGATACCATGTTAGAAATTTATGGGGTAGGCTCGAGGCAGGCTTTCGATAGGCTCGAGACGAAGAATCTCGTTCTGATACCATGTTAGAATTCGTGAGAGCATACATGTACAGGCATCAAATGGAGAATGGAGAATGGAGAATGGAGAAGAAGAGAACACAATATTTACGTGATGAGAAGAAGAAAACACAATATTTACATAGTAGTTCAAGCCGTGGTGGTTTAAGCCGTGGAGGTTTACATGGTGGCTCAAGAGAACATAATATTTACATGGTGATTTACGTAGTGGTGCCATGATGGTTTACATGGTGGTTCAAGAGAACACAATATTTACGTAGTGGTTGTGATTTACGTGGTGATTTACGTAATGGTTGTGATTTACGTAGTGGTTCAAGCCGTATGACTAAATAACTTTGAATTTTTTATCTTCTAGATACCTAATCTTATCAAAAAAAATATATACGTATACATCCATAATGATGCATATATAAACTAGATATATTCATATTCTAACAATTAAAAGGTGGCTTTCGTGCCCATGATTCTTATAAGAAATGGGCAATCAATTGCAGAATGGGTGGGGTTCAGATGTTGCATCTTCGGGAAATATGGGCCGATCCCCTCTATACATAATGGACAAAAACCCCCACATTGATATGGATTGATTCTTGAATATAGTTTCTTCTCCTCGGCGTGTGATAGATATTGTGTACTGGCTAGGCCAAAGCAAACGACCTGTTCGCCATCTTATGAGCCATGAAGATATGCTCTAGCATTATAATCCCCATGAGAATTGAGGAGCCAAAACTTTTAAAGGAAGATGACCAATTGGGATGTTAGATATGTCCTCTTCCCTATCTATTGGATCAGGAACCTCGGCGGTTTTCATAACACCTCTTGCTTCCCATTCATCTCTAGCTTGGAAGGTTCTTTCAGGCTTATTTGGTTTCTTGGAAATGGGTATCCGTTGTTTGAATAGCATATGATAAGAAACCTGAAAGATACCTCAACTGTTTGGATT